TGATTGACAGTGATGATGCCCAAGCCCATATGAGAGCTCATCTGAGGCAGGTTTCCTAGGCTGCAGTCCACCCCACCCCTTTTTTATTTACGTTTTTTTAAAATTTTGTTTTTAAATCATGTTTATTCTATGACAATTGTCTCAGTTTTTCCCCTCTTTGCCCTCCTCCATCCATCCCACCCAGCCCCCCTCTCCCACAGTCAATTCCCACTCTGTTGTCCATGTCCGTGGGTCATTCATTCTTGTTCTTTATTTAGTTCCTTCTCCTTTTCACCCTTGTCCTCCTTCCACATCCCCTCTGGTCACTTTCAGTCTGCTCCCTGTTTCTATGCCTGTGGTTTATTTTGTTCGTTAGTTTATTTTGTTGAATAGATTCCACTTATAGATGAGGTCATATGGTGTTTGTCTTTCACCGACTGGCTTATTTCACTTAGTTTAATATTCTCCAGTTCCATCCTTGTTGCCGCAAAAGGTAGGAGTTCCTTCCTTCTTTCTTTTTTTAATTAAATGTAGATTTTTATTTATTTACTTTTTAAATGTCAAAATCCAGTATAAAATGTTAAAAAATTTAAATCCATTATAAAGTCTCAGCAATCATGACACCAGTTAGGTTGTGCTAAAGCCGATTCTTCTGTCTGTCTGAGATTAAAAGGCTCCTCTCTTGCTCTTGTACAGTTGTTCGTTCCAGGTGATTTCTCCACAATTTAGTTGTAATTCCTGGTTGGTCCTGGGAGGAGGTCAGTGTGACATCCACTCAGTCCTCAGTCATCTTGATTCTCTCCAGAAACATTAATTTTGATATCTATAGTTCTAATTTAAAACGCATTTTAATTGTAGATATGGAGGAAATTGCATGTGTGTGTGTGTGTGTGTGTGTGGGTGTGTGTGTGTGTAGGGAGGTTAAGAATAATAGCGTGTTACCTTTTTACTAAAGAATAGAAAGTAGTCAATTTGAGGAACTTTATTACTACTATGAAAATTATTGTTTTAGTGTGAAATGGTTCACTTAGCTACCAGACACATGACAGTGGTAGGTGAACTATATCAGATCTCAAATAGATGATAGTTGAGTTCTGAACCCTCTGATCAGAGGCACGAGGTTTCCCAGGTACTTGTACCCTTCACCTTACAGGTATCCACAGCCACAGATTCACTATAGCTTCTGTTTAACACAGACTTATTCTACTGCCAGTTCAATTGGCATCGTTACGATATTGACATTCAGCATGGCACTCCTTCACTGTGTGCTCCTGTCCTCCTGTTCCCTGTACACTTGACCATTTTAGGATTACTCTTCAGAAACACATACTTAAAGCATTATTGTCTTAGCTTAGAAATAAAGGAATAAGTATAGTGCAAAGACATTATATTTATTGAGCAATAGACACGTTCCCGTATCCAAAGGCAACAGCCCTGCATTTTGGAGACAAGTAAAATTAACTGGACAAATTTAGGCAGAGAAAACCTTTCATAACTGATTGAGTGATTGTACAATATTAGTTTTGGGGGGGGGATTTAAATCTGGAAGTCTGGTTTCAAATAATTTTGAAGGCGAGAAAGGACATCTTGTTCCTAAAGGATTTTTAAATAATATATTTTAATACAAACTTCATAAGTTCTGAGAAGATGTCAAGATTCCCCTTTGTTATCTGTGATGCTATTAATGACACAAAAGAAAATCCATTTTTATTAAGATTAGGAAGCTTTCCAAGACATGTTTTATTTCCCAGTTGAAATAATATTTAGAGGTTCAAAAATGTGAAGCTTTGATAGTGTCAGGGACATTTTTTTAATCCTTTTCTCTTTAAAAAAAATCAACACCTTTTTTGAAAAACTGATTTTAACGTTAGATTTTTAAAATTAAATTTTGTTTTTTAAAAAATAGGCCATCAAAATAGCTAATTTGATAAACCAAAAGAAAAATAGTAGTAAACTATTGTCTTACTCCCTGGTGCCCTGTTGCATCCTGAGTTCAGTCAGTGGGTACCATTAACCTGGCCCCCACCCCAGGTGGCCCAGGGAGGTGGTGTGGGCAAAACTGCATCCTCGTTGCCTGGGAAGAGCAGGTGCTCAAGGGTTTGTTGAATGAGTATGTGAGCCCTGTCCTAGCCTGGGGAGTACCTGCATTTTATAATTAATTAAAAGTACTTAATTAAGTACTTATTTAAGTGTCTATGTGAATGGAAGTCACAGGAAGAGAGGGAGTCGCCAAAGTCTCCTCTTTGGAGCACATATACAGATTAAAAAGTTGGCCTTGGCTGGTGTGGCTCAGTGGATTGAGCACCAGCCTGTGAAGCAAAGGGTTGCTGGTTTGATTCCCAGTCAGGACACCTGCCTGGGTTGCAGGCCAGGTCCCTAGCAGGGGTGCACAAGACACAACCACGCATTGATGTTTTTCTCCCTCCCTTCCCCTCTAAAAATAAATAAATATATTTTTTTAAAAAATTTGTTTTAAGGTGAAACTTACACAAAATTGACCATTTAAAAGTGAACAATTCAGTGATTTGGAACACATTCACAATGTTGTGCAACTGTCACCTCTGTCTAGTTCCCAAACATTTTCATCGTTCTGAAAGAAAACCCTAATCTCATGAGGCTCCCTGCAGCAACCAGAGAGGAATGTGGGTGAAGGTATTAGTTTTAGCTAGGGTAGGATGTTAAATCAGATCTGGCTTTCTTGATATGTAGAAACTAAACATTGTTGTTTTAAGACAGTTCATTCTGAGTGTATGTATCTCTTGGCCTCCGGGTGGGTTGAGTGCTGCTGTGATATGACTTGGATCATGGTTCTAATAGTAAATTAGAGTTTCGTATTGTGGACTTGAACTTGGCTAGAACATGTATCCCGCTGGCCCCTAGTTTTACAGGCCAACAAACTCCCCAAACCCAGTTGCCTTGGGTAAAAAGCTATAGCATGTCTTTGAGTTAGTTTTAAAAGGGGCTCTTTGTTTGATATAAGAAAATTTGCCCTGTAAGAATTATATAGCACTTATTGAGATCTTTGGCATACTTTAACACTAGCTTCAGTAGAACCCCAGTAGATTGGGGTTGTAATCTCTGCGAATTTGAATGAGAAATTAAAATTTTCTCTGGCCTGATTTCTTCAACTACAAAAATAAGTGGATTAGATCCCCCTGGACCTCCTCAATCTAAGCTGTAATGCTTGGATCTTTAGTCTTTTTAATTCCTTCCTGTTATAAAAATTAATTGTCCTCATTAGTGAAAATTACCAACATATATAAAGGGAGAAAGAAGTTAAAAATGGCCCAGCCACGGTTAATATTTTGGTGTACACCTTTTTTATTATCTGTTTAAAAAAACAATATACAAATAACATGGAACTGGTTATAAAAGATCCAAATACTAAAAAGAATGGTTGGAAATGAAAAATGAAAGATGCACATCCTTACCCCTTGCCCCTTGGGCAGCCTTCGTATTGGTTTGTGACCTTTCTGGTTCCTTTACCAAGCATCTGGACAAGGAAGTTATTAAAATTTTATTTTATTTTTAGCACAGTTGGGACAATTCTAGGCTTATTGTTTGTGACACTTTGTTTTACAGTATTTCTTGGAGTTCTTTCCTTGTCAGTATATCAGTTTTATTCTTTCTTTAATGGCTGAATATTATTTGCAAAATGGATATAGCATAATTTAACAATGTCTTTTTGATGAACATTTAGGTTGTTTCCAAGTATTCAGCATTTTGAATATGCTGCAACCATCAACCTTGAAAATGCATACCATTTGCATGAATATTTTTAAAAAAAATAGGATTTTATACGAGTATAATTGCTGGTCCTAGAAAGTGCGTATTTTAAGTAAATCCCAGTGCTAAGTTACCCCTCACAGTGGCCGTTCCCCCAAGACCATAATCTCTCTGGTAACTTAGAGTAGCTTTGCTCTCACACCCTGGTTAACACCAGGCTCTCCTTTAAAAATTTTTCCCTAATTTATTTTTTAAAAAAGGAAAATTTAATTGTCATTTGCATAATTTTAAATGAGATTGAATAGCATTTTGCGTGTTTTGTTGGATAACCTAATTTTTATTCTGTAAATGTATATACTTCTACTCTGTGTCCATTTCCTTTGGATTGTTTGTGTTACACATTTGCAGGTGTTTTTTTAAATATAAAATTCTTAAATTTTCTAATATTTTTTTCACCTGCAAAGTGTAGCAAAACATTTTTTTTAAGGATACATTTTGCAGGTATTCTTTATGAAGTTCTGATGCTGATTTCTTTATGTGTTGCACTGTATTTTCTCTTATGCTATCATTCATCTTTTACTTCTCTTTATTGTAGTTTTCAATACCAGAATTTAAATATTTTTATACTGTCTTTTTTTCTGTCTTAAAAATGTAGTTGTGCTGTTATTCATATGTACAATTATTTTCAGTATTATTTTTCAAGACAGGCAGCCAGGACCGAAAGCCACTGTGTTGTGGCTCATCAGGGCAGGCATAAAAAGGGGGTCTTCACTGTGTTAGGAGAACATAGTACGTGAGGGCTGTGACTAGCACATTTATTTCCTCCTGTAGGGATGGCACGTTGGAAGCCCTTACCTTTACTTGGAAAGGGAGCTTCATCAAGGCAGTTTGTCATGCCTTTCAGCAGCTCAGATGTAGCAGCTTTGGCTCCTCAGCCAAGTTTCCCTTTCCCTGGAGGGCACTGGGGTTCCATTCCTTGTAGTGTTTTTGGATGTTCCATTCCTGGTCTTGCTGAGCTGATCCTCCTGTTCATGCAGCCTCACTCTTTTCGACATGTGATAATGTTTCTCCTTTATCAAAAACACATGCATGGTCACTGATAACAACACACATTTGTTGGGAGTTTTCATTTAAGTAAGATCAAAACTTGGCTAATTTGATAGGGAAGAAATGCACAGTTTTTGTCTCTTATGAAGATTACAAAAGACTTTGGTGGGGGGAGGGATTGGGGAATGTTTCTGTGCAGCAGAGAGATGTATCATGAAACAGCCTCTAAATGGAGTGTTCCTTTTCAGGTGGTGATGAACGGAGGTGCCACGTCCACCAGTGAACAGGACAATGAAGACACAGAGCTCATGGCAATCTATACAACAGAAAACGGCATCGCAGAGAAGGTACCCACTTCTTATCATGCCCCTACTTTCCAGTCTCTGCTGTCCCAGGTTCTGTACAGGATATGTGTCCGTCATCTGGGGGTTTGTCTCTACCTGCCTGAGTGGGTGTGGGTATTCTCTTTATAATGGAAATAGAGATGATGAGGAATAGAAGTTACTAAGTTTTTAATTGTCTTAATGACAATTAAGCTGGGACCCATAGAGAGGCCCTTACCTATATATTTTTAACAGCCTCAGCCAGCATGCCAGAAGCGGTTAAGAGTCTGGGTTTGGGTGCCAACCTGACTCAGACCCTGAAGGAATTTAACTGTGGGCATCAGTTGCCTCATCTCTAAAATGGAAGTAAACACATCAACATTTGTCTTAGGGTTGTTGTGAGGATTAAATGAAGTAAAATATGTAAAGTTACTAGCATTGTGTCTCATACAGACTGTGTGTGCAGTGGCTAAGAGAATGAGAGAAAACAGTAGATGGTTTAAGTTGATTATGACAATGCCTTTAATGAAGCTCAGACGAAAACAATGGAAATCACTCACTGAAGTGGGAGAATCTTCTTTTGCCTCATACCATTTCCTTGATAGGTCAGTCTCTGTGACTATATTCCTAGAGGCCAGGAAAGAGCTGCCCAAAAAAGAAAGCCCAGATGCCTGGATTTCTTTTGCCCTTGTATCTGCCACTGTGCCTAACACATGTGAAAAGTTTGACAATGTGGCACCTTCAGATTGCATTGCAGCCCTAAGACTTTTCAATTTCATTTGATTTTTATTTGATAGACTTTAAAAATAAATTTTACTTTTTTGGTAAAAATTACTAATTTGATCAACTTATACGAAGAGGCATTGTATTCTAGTACCACTATATTTTACTGTAGACAGTGGATACTGTATATTCTAGTCACAGATCACTAAGAAGCTGACACATGCAAATATAGTACCCAGCTTGGGTATTAATACAGCAAGTTTACAGTGTAAAATGTAAACTTTTATCATTTATTAAAATGATAAAGAACAGGAATTATATTGGAATTTTTGAATAATCAAATTTTTATGTATATGTGTTGTTTCTTTTTAAAATTTCTAGTCTGTGAGATGAAAATTTCATTTTTGATTGTGTTGACCAATATTACTATTATTTGGTAAGCTGTTATAAATTAGACTAATTAGAGTCATGCTGGTGTGTTGAAATTCCTGTGGTGTTGGATTCCAAACTGCTCCTCAGAGTGCAGAGGTGAGAGCAGCCACAGTCAGAATGCAGTCTGATGCCGGCAGCTGATAGCTGAGACACAGCCTGCAACAGGGCTGGACCTGTGTGGGGGCCACTGGGTGGCTTGCTTGGGTCTCAGCATCCACGTGGCTCAACGTCTTGTAACAAAGTGCTTCTGAATTCATAGACTTGCTGGGTTGCATCCAGTGCTCAAGTACTGGGTCCTTAATCACAGAGTTACCAAAATTTCCAAGCTGTAGGCTCTAATAATTTTGGGACTTCCTCCTCTATTAATCCAGAAATGATGGCTGTCTTTTGAAATGAGTAGTGAGGCGCATTAACACTTTGGGGCTTTTTAACATCTGCAGCTGTGCCTTTTACTGATGATGGTACTGTGTTGGAAAGAAAAACATCTAGCACATTTATGCTGGGCATTTATTTACCTGTATAGGTGAACTTTTCACTGTCTAAACACTGGTACATTTGCACTTCCCTAAATACTAGTGAGCTAGAATATCGTCATATTTTATTGGCCATTTGGGACTTATATTATTTTGCATCTTTGTGATTCTGTTCCTGTTCTAGTTGTTTGCTTAGTTTGTTTTTGCTTTAGGTTCAGTTTTTGATAGTTGTCATTTTACTGTTCATAGTTTTGATCTTCCTCCTTTTCTTCTGTAAGTCCCTTTAACATTTCATATAATAAGGGCTTGGTGATGATGAACTCCTTTAACTTTCCCTTATCTGGGGTACACTTTATTTGCCCTGCTATTCTAAATAATAGCTTTGCTGGGTAGAGTAATCTTGGGTGTAGGGCCTTTTCTTTCATGACTTTGAATACTTCTTTCCAGCCCCTTCTTGCCTGCAAGGTGTTTTGAGAAATGAGCTGATAGTCTTATGAGAACTCCTTTGTAGGTAACTGTCTCCTTTTCTTTGCTACTTTGAAGATTCTCTCCTTATCTTTAATCCTGGGTAATATAATTGTGATGTGCCTCAGTGTGTGCTTCCTTGGGACTCTCTGAGCCTCCTGGATCTCCTGGAAGTCTATTTCCTTGGCCAGATTGGGGGAGTTTTCCTTCATTGTTTTTTCAAATAAAGTTTCAATTTCTTGCTCTTCCTCTTCTCCTTCTGGCACCCCTATGATTCAGATGTTGGAATGTGTCCCCAGAGGTTCCTAAGCCTCTCCTAATTTTTAAAAATTCTTGTTTCTTCATTCTGTTCCGGTTGAATGTTTATTTCTTCCTTCTCCTCCCAATTGTTGATCTGAGTCCTGGTTTCCTTCCCTTCACTGTTGGTTCCCTGTATATTTTTCATTATTCACTTTACATAGCCTTTACTTTTTCTTCCAGTTGGGCATCTTTTTGTTGCTTAGTTCTTTTTTTTGAGTTTTGATCTGTTCTTTCATTTGGGCCATATTTCTTTGTCTCAGTGCACCTGTTATGTTGTAAGGGGCGGAGATGTAGGTATTCGCCAGGGCAGGGCAACCCAGGTTGCTGTACTGTGGTGCTGCCTGTAGGGGAGGGCCAGAGAGGGAACAATGCCACTTGCTCAACTCTCAGTTGCTTCTCCCGCTACCCACAAGCAAATTGGGCCCTTCGTGTGCTGATTCCTGGGTGGATGGGTTTGTGTACATTCTAGGACCCTGTGGGTCTCTCCAGTGAACACTCCTGTGAGGCTGGGAATTTCTCCCTCTACCGCATCCCCCACAGGTTTTTACAGCCAGAGATTTTGAGTCTTTCTTTTCCTGTGCTGGAACACTGGGTTGTGTGGTCTGTCTCACTCCCCTGTTGTTCCTCTTGGTTTATCTGCACACAAATGTGGGACTGCCAGCCATTGTTTTGCCTGCCCGGTCCTCCAGCCACTGCCGTGCGTCACGTCCTCTCTGCCCTGGCTGCCCATCTCCACCCCTCCTGCCAATCTGGATGAATGTTTTTTCTTTAACTGCTTGGTTGTTGGACTTCTGTATAGTTCAATTTTCTGGCACTTCTGATTGCTTTTTGTTTTTAAATTTGTTGTCCTTATTTTGGTTATGCGAGGAGGCAGAGTACCTATGCTTCTGTCTTGGCTGTAAGTTATTCTGGTGTGTGTTTTTTAATGTCATTAAAAAAATATTAATGGCTAAACAACCTCATAGTTAAATAGAAATGTTAAAGTGAAAAGCCAAAGTCCTCATTCTCCCCGCTCCCAACTATAACCCAATAACCACAAATAATAGGTTGGCTTTCTTCCTCCTAGGCATTTCCATCATACAGATACTTTCTTGACTTTTGCTTTATTTTTTTTTAACATAAATGAGATTATATTCTGGATATCATTCTGCAACCTACTTTTTAAAGACTTTATTCATTTCTTTTTAGAGAGAGGGGAAAAGAGGGAGAAAGGAGGGAGGGAAACATCAATGTGCAAGGAAAACATCAATTGGTTGTCTCTTGCATGTCCTCAGCCGAGGACCTGGCCTGCAGCCCAGGCATGTGCCCTGACCAGGAATCGAACCTGTGATCTTTTGGTTCGCAGGCCCTTGCTCAATCTACTGAGCCACACCAGCCAGGGCTGCAACTTAACTTTTTAAATGTAGCTATATATTGTCAACATTTTCCCAGGTTAGTATATATATATATATATCTCTAGCCTATTCTTTTTAGCCGTAGTGGTGTTCCATTTATTTAAATAACCCTTTAATTACTGGACATCAGCAATAAGGACACTGTTTATCTCTTGCAAAAAGGCTATAACAAACATTTTCATACATGTTTTTGCAACTTTTCTGTTTCCTTAGGAGCAAAACAGCTCCATTTTTGTCCCATATTCGAGTAAGAGCTGCAGTTGGATATGTCCATTGGTCTGGCATTCACTGAGCCAGTTTCCATTTTTTCCTATTGAAAGACTTCTGGGTTCTTTAGTTACACAGGTAATTGTGGTTTGAAATTCAAAACAACAGTATGCCTTTCCTAATTCTCCTGTGAAATTGTGCCACCTACTTTGAACTGCTCTTGACAAGATCATAGATAATATATGTAAAGTACAAAAACGAGGTACGTGGACCTTGGTTCAGCAACCTCAGTACTTGAGTTATGGCTAATAAAGAATTCAGAGCCAGTACTCAAACTGTGAGAGAAAGTTTATTTAGAAAGTCATAGAGGTAGAAGTTCACATAGAAGAAATGGGCTCAGGAAGCAAGTTATAGCAAAAGAAGCGCCTTTGGAGCTTAGGAGACAGAGAGACAAGGAAAAGGCGCCTGAAGTCGGGTGCCAGCTTGCTCCCTAGTGAGAGCGGTCTGGGGCTTATGTTATTCTGAAGTCAGTTTTGGTGAAGTATTTTTTTTCTAAAAATTGATTGATTCTAATTCTCAAGTTAATCTATGTAAAACTGGACAGAATAGATTTTTAAATTCTTTTAATTAGTTTATTTTTGTGATTAGTTCCACTTTGAATATGTTTATACTTTTCCCTTCCACATTGTCCCATTTTTTATCTCCCTGGATTAGCTAGTTTTTTTTTTAATCTAAAAGAACTAAATTTTAGATTTATTAGCTTTCTAAATAACTTTTCCTATGTTCTAATGTATCTAATTCTCTTTTTTTCTTTATTCCTTTTTATTTCCTTTTTTTTCTAATATTTTCCAATATATGTTTTGTTTTATATTTTTGTTTTAAGTGCAAAGGCTATGAAATTTCCACTGAGCACTTCTTTAACTATATCTAATGGACTTTAATATGTAATTTACTTTTTATTCCAGTTTTCTAGTCTGCTACTTGAGATTGTATTTCTTTTTTTTCCTTTTGGCCATTAGGGAGCACATTT